TCGTTCCTCTATCGCCACCTCCATTCCCCACCGGCGTAGTGGAGGTCCTTCCGCTCACTGTCGCTTTCGCCCTTTGTCGATGGGCTCAAGGGGAAGGACGGGAGTCCCCTTAAGACCACTACCCATCCCACCACTGCCACCTCTACCATTGCTGCCATCGCAATCTCTCTCTGCAATGGCCTCAACGCTACCGCTGTCTCCCGCTTTCCCAGAAGGTCAGTGGACGGAAAAGATGCAAATGTGGAATTTTCTCTTAAGTGGAGCTTCTCCAACTTATCCATTTTTGCACAATCATTCGCCCCAAAATGCACATCTACCAGGACCATCGTGTGAGTTGAATTAATGCATGGCAATCAGATTTTTCACTTATGGCAAATTCCAAGAGTGTGTCGGTTATGATTACTTGAAAGTACCAGGTTTTATAACTTACTCAGTGAACTCATTAAATTTCAGGCCCTGACTGTTACAAGTTAAGTGCCAACATCGTTCGAATGCTTTCATTTGTATACGTTTCTTCGCTTGTGTTTCTGCACCTTCTGAGGTTTAAACTGCCCAGGATCAAATGTCCTTGTTTAACACAGCCAACTGCTTGCAGCACAGATACTGAAACTGATATTGTGCATTCTCTTGATACTTCACATTTATTCTTAGGCATGAATCCCAACACCACGGTCATATTTGATAGATTTTCGGACTACTTTTTCGAGTTCCAAACACTGAAACGTTGCATACCGCCAATGAACAATGTCGCCATAGTTCGAAAACTCAATGAGATTTGGTTGACTCCAGAGGTAGGTTTTCTCACTCTACTACTGACTCCGCAAATGCTGTAGCTACGCAATTCAAGTCTCCTTAAACAAAAACTTGAGGGGAGAGGGTCAAAGGCGGATTCCATTTTTGGTTTTCTTGCGGTATTAAATTCACTGCTCCATGCTCACCCCTAGCATAGGGAATGATAGTTTAGAATGCTACCAAAATCCGGATCCCGTATCTCATCTTCCTTGGCCTTTACAAATCTTTCATAACTTTGCATAACTTAAAATCTGAGTAAGACTTTGGAGACAATATGAAACTACAGGATTTCACCTTTAGGTTTTCCGAACAGCTGCTGTTATTATTTTCTACGACATGGACCTCTATGACAAGGAGATTATTCGTCACTTCATTAACCTTCAACTAGTTATTTTAGCCGATGTATTCAGCGGCTCAATCGACGAAGCTTCAAAGTACTTTAGAAGTCATGGTGAGTAGTTTGTTTGTATCATAAGTCTACGTTTCATAATTAACTTTTAATCGACTAGAGAAGACAAACCATTTATTATTAACCATTAATTACTGCACTTATTCTCTGTGGGTAATCTGTAACGTTCAACTGCGATTCCTAAATGCAGAGCTCTAACAGGTAGAGCTATTGCCCTTTTCTCTAGCATTATCTTTGCTTTGAGAACGGCCATTAAGAACTTTACTGCAAAAGGGCTCCTTCATTTCAACTGCATCACAGAAAACGCTCACCCTCACTACACATTAGCATGCATGTTTTAGGAGCTTTCCTAAAATAAATCCCATTTAAATTGTAATTGCAGGAATTACCTTCCGAATTATACAACCGGAACCTGATATAGACACAACGGCTGACATAATTTTCGCCAAGATACTCCAGTACAATTATGATACTTGCTCTGAGAATTCACCATTGCTTCTGGAGCACAGTGGAGAGCACTGTAACAAGACTTTTTCGAAAAGCCTTCGAGGAAGAATGCTGGGACTCATTGGACTAGGTTAGATGGACATTTCAGCAATTCTCTTGAAGTGTTACTCATTCACTTTATTTTTGTTTTTCAATAGCACTAGCCTATTCAAGTGAGTCCCTATCCATAGAGCGAGTCCTAAGATGATATAATGGGGTGTGATTATATCAGGCGTACATTTTGACCGTTGAAAATGCGGTTAGTGTTACTCTTGAAAACGATGGACCAACACGAACTGCCAGCGGCACTAAGACTGCCCCCTACAAGCCTGCGTACCTGGGCACTTCCGTCTGAATGAAAGAATTTGAAGTAGGAAGTCGTGAATACAAATATTCACGTAAAGAATACCACCTCCGTTCTTAGCACTGGAGATATAGGTTAAAGACAAAAGCTGATCACTAAAGGCAACTGTTTTTCAAGTTCATTGCAGAACGCTTTGGCATGTTCATTTTCTGGCGTAATTAGCCGTTAATCTTCCGATTATTTTCCTTCGCTTCGAAGAAATGAGCCCATTTTAATGAATTAGTCCTGTATGAGCCTTCTGATTAAGCGAGTTTCCATGGGTGACAACCCAACTCCATGGATCGTAGACCTCAGCATTAATTAGTCTCTTCTTAAAACGAAATTGTTTTTGCTAGCTGAGATAATGCACTATTAAAGCAATTTCCCGTTTCGGTGTTAGTGGGGACAGGTTGCGTGATGGCCTGGACCGAGTGCGTTTCCTTCCGGCTATTTGATGTCATTATAAATCCTGACGGCTCAACTTCGCTGTCCTTGTGGTGGTCGAATCCGAAGGCTCTAATGAGGCTGCAACGCCTCTGGCGTGAATATTAATTTCACTTCATTTTACGGGGTCGGAAGTCGATGCGTCCCTTAAAAACTTCAGTGCTATGATAAACACTATGGGACTTACAACTCTTCCTCAAGGGTCGGCTGATGTTCAGACTGTTTTCTTTTGCGTAATGCAAATAAACAATGCTACAATGAAATGCTGGAGTGAATAATACATTTAAATGTCATAGTTTGCAGCATTGGATCTAGCAGCATAATCAAGAGACTGCTGATAAAACGTTCGTTGGGCATTTTAATAAAGCTTTAAAATGATGGATTTCATTACATACGTTGTCATGCCGATTCAAAATGACACTTTTTTACTTTAATGCAGATCCCATTGGACTGGCTGTTGCAAGGCGCTGTTCAATATTTGGATTGCAAGTCATCGTTCACGATCCAACTGTCTCGGAGGGCACATGCAGCGGTCTTGGCTTAGCACAATCCGAGCATTTAGAAAGTTTGCTTCCCCTCTGTAACTTTATTTCCTTTCATAATTGGAAGGTGGATCCTCTAAACAATCGAGGCTGTCAGCTGAATATTACAAGCCAGCATCTCAGTTTGATGAGGAAAGGTAAAAGTGATCCGTTCCGATAACGGCCGAAATTATTTTAATAATCATGATCTTACATACAAATGTGGACGAATCATAGCATCTTACTTACTCACATGATTCTGTAGAATCAGACTACCATTTTACAGTTTCATTCTGTCACGGATGATCTCGTTCTTTTCCCATTAAAGCGTATCCTCCTCCAGACTTCTTCATCTTGCGAGCACAATTGAATGACCAACAAAGTGCCCCTTCCTAAGATGGCACTTCCTGCTGCTTAACCTTCGACTGGAACAGTTTATTTGGTGTTTGTGTTGGCTTTACGAGATTTTATAAGTTGATGAAGTTAGTAACATGGACTAAATGCCTGTGGATGCATAAAATGAGGTTATTAATAGGACACGGGTCCTGCTCTTTCACCGCAATTCTCCTTGCCTCGGCATAAATGATTTGTGTCCATTTTGTTCTCTTCAGAACTAAAAAAACAATCATCTGCAACGCCTTAAAACTTGGGTTTAATGATAAACCATGGTCGTCTTTGTGCCGTCTTTAATCAACCTTTAAGCTTTTCCACGAGTTCACTTTGATGTCTTAATGGGAATTCAATTACGCCTCTCCAAAAACATCACCATTTACTTGGAATGAGAGAATTCGAAATCAAACGAAAAGGATTGTACCAACATAAAGCTTCTCCTTTTAAGATGCAAGTATATTTTGTTCAACCAACCGCGTGAGCTTCGACATTATGGCACTGGCTAGAAGCCTTGGACAGAGCCACATCAAAAGTGTAGCTCTTACGAGGGAGCAAATCACTAAGCTGATGTCCAGCCGCATGGCCGTCACAGGTATTCCCTTTCCTGCCTTATGTCCTTGCCTGTCTGCTGCATTGCCACGGCACTGAACAAGCTTGAAATTATTAAGGCTTACTTAAGGAGTATTTAATTAGTTGATGGGTTGTTCGTTTACTATTCTAATAGTTGGTAAGCTTCATAGGGTTGTTTTATAATCCTACTTGCATCACACCTAAGAGTGAGGGAAGGGAGTGTGGTAGCAGCTGAATGCCTGCACTAATTTAAACTCATTCCTATCTACTGAGAACTTGAGACTCACATCAGTTTTATGATCTGATCGCCCAAAATGACCGATCTCTTGAATTGATTCATCAACAAACTTATGCAGCAAATGACTTTTGAACAGTTGACATGTGACGAAATTCACCAAATCTACTGATCCACTAGCTGTTTCAAAGCATTTATAGCCATTTCTTTGGTAATGATGACTATGCGGATTGTTGGCGCAACGCCACCCACGCAGTTGGAAAGCGTTTGAAAGGCTTTAGTTTGCGAATGTCAATCTTAATAATTGCTTCAGGTGTCTCCAAAGGAACATCTAACGTTTTTGAGATTAGTCTTCCGAAATTGCTGTCTGAAGAATCCTTCATTAACCATCGTCGAAGGGTTACGAATTTCGTGGTGGACTTCCTGTGCGGTATGAAGGAAGCCAGTTCCCCTCAGCCAACTCATTCTTCTGTATATAAGTCAGTTTCAGCTAGCCGACAAGAAAAATTTGTTTCGAGTAACTTGAGGAGCCCTTTGCAAGAAACCACTGAAATCAACTTGAACGGTTTAAATCATGGTAGTGAGTTTAATTTCTTTTGAAATTATGCTTGAAGTTACAATGACTCACTTGATTCTCCAACTTATCCTTTTATTCCGGCCCTAATAATTCAGAAACGTTCACTCAAAGAGCATCACATACGATTTAGTGGAGACAATTTGACACAATTAAGCCTCGTGGAAGCGTGAAACTCTTTTGCACTTAACTTGCGAGTTATTTCTGTCTTTAGGTAATGATCAGAAATGCTTTCACTACGACGGCGTGGCGTTTTCAATTGATACACTGCTTACCTCACCATCTGGTCCCAAACCACATTCACCCTTCACATAGACACCGTTAACTATCTGCTAAGGAAGAAACGAAGAAGCATTCCGCTATCAACTACGAATATATTTTACGCTTGTGGTGTTCCGTTCGTTAAGTATTTCATCACTCACCTCTCAGTAGATCAAATTTCCATCTTACCATCTGCATTTTAGCTTCCATTTCGATTTCTTTATTAAATTCACAGCGGTTATGCTCGGCCCGTTCCACATAAATGTCATATTCACATTGCTAAAAGTAAAACAGAATTTCGCACTAATTTACTACCATAGGGAACCAGTGCAATTTTGCCAGCATTCCGTAAGGTATTGGATTTAAGAATGACACAAGCACTTTTCTAATCTATTTAACATGCCACTAGTTGGAGGCATGCAGCCTGGAAACCTTCTTAATGCAAGGCAGCATAAAATATTCCAAGTTTAGTTTGCAAGCCATTTAGCTCGGGAAAGCGTAGATATACTGTGATTTGTTGCGAAAACGAAATCAAAGCGCTTCCGTGTTTCATGATATTTATAATTCCTCCCCTGCTGCTTTCAGGATGTGAATAAAGGATACATTGAGAGTCGTTTGAAATTGGTCACCCGTCTTGCTTGCAATTTTGTGTGTGTGAAAGTCGCATATGGGCGGACTGAGTACTGTATGTTATGCTACAAGCACGCACTAACGCACCAACCATTCCCTACACTTATTCCCAATTCTCTCAATGTACCAACCAAACCGGAATGCTCTTGTCCTCAGAACACCGAGAGGGGGACGGCCGAGTTTTCAAGTACGGAAGTGAGAAATCCGAAGTTTGTATCCAGGCTTCTGGTACTTCAAGGGGCAGAAAAAACTCTAGTAATAAAAGAGAACTCAACCCAATTGTAAGGTGCAATTCAATTCTCCCCTCCCTATGACACCTCCCCTATAAAAAAAGAAGCTGCTCCTGAGGTGGTCCAATACGATTATGCAAAATGAATTGAAATTATCAAGACCTCAAGCAGTGGACATCAAAACATTGCATAAAGTTCATGGCTTCTTAAAGGACTATTAAATAGAATAAAATTGTTGCTAACAGTTCGACTTTGATGTCTGCTACAACCTCTGGGATAAAAAACCAACCTCGCGTCATTGTTTACCATAGTTCATTGCTTGTGTGATAGTCTTTGTATGATAACCACCTTGATGGTTATCTTACTCTCTTGCCAAATCCCAATTCCCCTTTTTTGCCTCGACTTCATGCATCCAATCCCGCATAATGTTCCCTTGTACCTGATGGAGTTATGGTAGGCTTCATACAGATTCTCAACTTTTGGCCCAAATGCCCTACCTTGGATGTGAATTGAGGTCCGACTTTTCAGCCAATGCGTGCACATCCTCTAACCAACTAACACGTCTGTGCGCTATCGCGTCAATGCAACACCGAACCTGTCTAAATTCCTAAAAATGACCTCCTCACACAGCACATTTAATAATGACATCTTATACTTCCCAAAAATCAGATATGGCTTAGCCTAGGTGCCACGCCCGAACGAAGAAGGAACGAATAAGCGGTGTAGCCAGAACACTCATTGCAAACATTTGTCGCTAGCACTATTTCACCTACATAACGACGAATGGACCAGTAGAATAAGTGTCCAGCGTAACAAGCACACTAAGTCTAAGCGTTTGGAATCGAAAACCACCATAGATCTACCGACGTAGAACTTGAAGATCTTGATTCCAGTAGTAGTCTTCCGAAAATAATGGAAGTGGAACGCAGCAATAAGCACGCTTCACCCACGACCACGCTAGCAGGATCACATCAGTGAGCAATAAATCGATCATCGACACTCGCCTCCCCCCAGGTGCGACGAGCACAGAACCAACAACACCCACCCAAAATTACAGAACCGAATTCATCCAACGGCAATCCCAAAACTGCCCAATTTACAACACCCGCTTCGTGAAATTGAAGTAGACATTTGCAAAACCAACTGGTTTAATGAAATTGTCCAAATTAAACCTAATGCGCCTTTTGAACATCTATCCATTTTAGTTCTGGAAGAAGGTACCGGTGCACCTACAATAATAAAGTCACCCAAACCTACCTATCGTTCGAACATTAAATTCGAAAGTACACTGAATAACGGCCTGTAGACCCAAATATGCACGAAAGTAAAATCCTTCAGTAAGGTAAAGAGCAGCAACGATTATTTGGAAATGATGTAATATGATAAAAGGCATGGTTTTCACATCTACCCGTCCGAAAACTGTCGTCGGAGGTTTGATGCTAAAGGGAACACGGAAAATATGCAGGCTGAGTGATGGGAAAACACACAAACCATCAGTAAAATTTAGAAAAAGGCCACGATCGATAGTTCAACGTAACAGTTAATAAACGGCGTGGACAAAAGCAATCAATAAACCAGGAAATCAAGCGATTGAAAATCAATGTTCAATAATTGATGAACGATGCCCGCACATCCAACAGGTAGTGCGATGTCTTATAGTGACAAACTTTAATTCCATTTTCCAAAGGAGAAGGAAAATATGATCTTAAGCTCAGAGGGGGGAATTCATACCTTGGTTTTGTTTCTAATTAGCTCAGTGTTTCCACGAATACTGCGATACATCTGCACCTCTGTGAGACAGTTACCCGTTCCAAAATGTTGAGACGCATTATACGAACAGATACAGAAAGACTCACTACTGCTGGTAGAATTCGGAGTGGTGCTGCACACCAGTGGATGCCCTGATTGCGAGAAAGTGGAGGGCTGCACGCGAATGAGAGAAGCAGAGGCATTTGCGGGTGCTATTACATGAACTCCAGACCCAGGTATATCAGAGAGCGTACCTGAATTAGTTCCACGCTGACCTTGTGGATTACCGCCGGGTGCATTTGAAACACGATAAACAGCTAGACTACCAGGGCCAGCACCTGAGTTTGAACTGGGAAGCACTATTCTGGAGGGGACATTTGCGAACTAAAACACGAAGTTTAACTGAGTAAGGATGTCTACCGAAAATTGTGCTTAACTAAAAGCTCACATTCGTGCTCGTGCTAGCATTTGAAACAATACAATAGTTTGGTGCCGTGATTGTGTACTTCTCTGGAGCCAACTTTATCCCTGGTCCTGACTTTATTAACGGAAGCGCCTGAGAGTTTATTTTTTCAGCGTACTCAAGAAGTTGTTCCTTGTGAAGGGGAGAAAGTATGACGTTTTCAAGCTTATTTTCGACAGCCAAATCCAGATCTTGTTCAGCAATGTGCGGCCGTCCAGCATACAAAGCATTGAACTTGGCATCGACAAGTATTTCACCGGTGTATGCTATGAGTTACCATTTAAGTAAATGGTCCTTACTTGAAATGATGTCTAGCACATGATTATATACATCCTCTGACAATGCAACCAAGTTGAAATCCTCAAAAATTGATTTTATTACACTCAACACCGACGACTGGGTTTCAGAGTTCTGCTCGAATCCATCCATTACAACACACGCAATGTTGAAGCAAGCGCGCCTTGAAATGATCAGATTCAAGCAGACTATAACGCTTCCATAAAAAACACTGAATTAAGCTCTACTGACTCGTATATGCAATATTCGTAAGACATTTTCATTGAACGAATCGGTTGCGATCGTGTTTATGTGTCACGTATATATTAGTAACTTATTATCACACACAGTAGATTTGCGGCAAAACAACCGTACGATATCACAAGTTGTAGGATCTCCAAGCTTTTTGCAGATAAGGGATGACATAATATTAGTCGTGAAATCATGTACCCTGACAAAAGCAAGGGGGATTTAACGCCGTGCATGTCACGGTGCAAACTCACTTGGTGGGAGAATTACTGAGTCTCAAGTAAAAGTAACAGACGGACCGTACAGCAAGCAAGCCAAGCCACAGGTGAGCCTCACCTAAATCAATTATAGACAATCCCTCTGACGGAATTCACTCTACAAGTTGATGTTTGCTTGCCAAAAGACACAAATGACTTGCTGACAAGTACGCACTATTGTGCCAAGCATAGTGCCTTGAAAATTGCCATACTAGTGACGCCAGTATCTCAAAATTAAAGGAGACAATAATTTATTTTCAAGCGGCTAGAATCTATGCAGAGCAGAATATTTTAGACCCCATTTTGCATTTGCAGTTTGATCAGCCCTTCCACTCCTTTGTAAAATGAATTCTACTCTTCAAAATAAGATGTTAAACTGCCGAAGTGGATATCTTGAGCACGGATCCCTAAAAGATTTAAGATGAACTGCTGAATTTGGCCATTTAAGAATTTGAATGTTTTTGAAGTGTTCTTATCTTAAGCGAGAAATGACATTTTGATGAAGTTCGCATAAGTCTTGTAGCATCCCGAGATTTTCAACCTGGTAAAAGAAAGTGTAAGTGAAACCGAACATATGTGTTACAAAGAGAACAAAGCAACTAGGCCTGAGCATGACCCAAAGGCTAGTCCACATGTACAGGGGCCAGATGAAACTTAAAGTAGCCGCCAGATATAAGTGGTCACATAAACAAAGCATAACGCTGTCACTTTCTTCTTTTGAGCGAAGTCCACTGCGCGCCCCTTTGGTACACCTCCCGCGCCAGCCATCACAACATATTCGGTACTACATGAAAGTATCTACGAGCCAACCGCGCCAGTCGACAGACGACACGAGACTGAGGAACCGTACCTGGTCTCCTCGGCAACTTCAACTGGATCTGGGGTTACTTCGGTCTGACATCCAGATTCGGGGTCGCCTACACCTGTTGACCGTTAATTGCTTCAAGGACTAGACGGTGAAACTCTGATTTAAATCATACATGTTATAGGGAAAACGGGATGAGCCACTGTCCCGTATGTAAGGAGAACCGCGGCGTCATTCCCGACACCTAAATACGGATTTTGTATGGGGAATTCCTACACGAAACTTTTCCAGATGATTCACGGTGGTGTCGCTTCATTTGTTAATAGCTTGTCTGTGGAACACGGGAATAAAGAGAGACGAAATGCAGATGTCAGTCTAAATCCTTTCGTTGCGAGGGGATCTGGGAGTCTCCGCCACCAATGCACATGCGTCTCTTCCACCCTGCGGGCACATGCAACAAACGGTACGTGCTAGGATAGAGGTCATAGGAAAAAGATTCACTTCGCTTTCCGCTGCCACCAGTGTAGCATCCTAAGACTTCCCATAGGGTGGAAGAAGCCAGCAAGTGAGGCTGGATACATGTATTCCAAAGAGGACAGAACAAATGGGCCCAGACATGTCCCAGAGGCTAGCCGACGAGTAACAGGGCCAGACAAATCCTAAACTGACAGCCAAAATCCGGTGGTCAGATAAACAAAGCGTTACACCAGATACAGACCCGTATATAAGGAAAACCATAGTGTCATTTCCAACGTCTATACACAGATTTATTAATGGTAATTCCAATACGAAACTTTTCCAGATGGTTCATAGCTGTCGCTTCAGTTATTAAAAGCGTGTCAGTGGGACAAGAGAACAAAGAGATTCCAAACATGGACACTACTATCAACCCTTTTGCTGTGAAGGAATAAGTGGTTCTCCCATCAGAAATGTAGATGCGCCTCCTCAACACCGTGGGTTCAAAGCACTCCAAGTGTAGCGTCCGAGACTTCTTATTGTGTAGAAATAAACAAAGTGGAATTGGTTGCACGTATTCCGAGGAGGTCAAAGCAACTAGGACTGAGCATGTCTTGAAGGCCAGCTAACGTTCACAAGGGCCAGTCGAATCTCAAAGTGACCACCGGATATCTATCTGCTACACAAACAAGGTTATTTACAAAAGGTACGTAATTTACTTTAGCTTGCTCAGTTGTCTTACTACTGGCAATTCAGGACTGTCTAAACTTTATATTTCAGGGCATTAACATGGCTTGTAGTGATCGTTCGAATGTCTTTCTCCTTGGCATTGTGCAGACTTGCTTTGTTTATTTGGTGGCATTTCTGGTCCAATTAATGAGACGGATGGTTTTCGGTTGATTACTGACCATGCTGAGCATGGCGCGTGTGTTAAAATTCCGTGTTAAGGTTTCATTGGACAGGATTGCGCACTTGGTCGTTACTTTAAACGTTTCGTAGCTCACCTAGGCGTTATGTCTGCTTCAGGTGTTAAGGCGTCTGTGGTATGTTCACGTGAAAAGCATTTTTTTAGATGTCACAGGAAGAACAAGAGTCTGAATTAAAAGCTAAATATCCCGGCTTGGCTCAAAAGGGAGCTGCGTCAATGCTATTACAGAAGAGGCTCAATCGAGGAGTATGTGTTGCCATTAATGACCTACGAATATTCTTGTCAATGCAACTACACGTTTTCTTGTCTGTTATTTTTGCTTGCTCGATAGTCTCCGACGCTTTTGCAACAGTGCCATTGTCGCGATTATGGGTTGCAACTGTGAAGTCTTTTTCGTCATTTATTGTTTATGCAGTCATGTAGGAGAATGTAAAACGATCTGCATTCATTTGCCCACTAAAATACTTCCACTTTCTTTTTTCTTATGGGAATCAAACTAAACTTTCATATCTTGTTATTACCATCCTTCAACATATTGAAGAAATGAGAGAGTTTTGATTCTTTATTTTCGATGATTTATCTGCGGTATCGGGTTTGGTTTTAGTTTTCCATGTTTCATGTTCGCCTGGCTGCTTTGGTCATTGATAGAAATCTGACTTGTAAGAAATTTTGTGCTGTCAATCTTTAGTGCTGCTCTTCAGGCTTAAATAGTGGCGTAGTTGAGTGGTAGGCGAGCATCACTGTCAGATCGGGAAAATATGCGCGGAAATTGATTGAATTGCTGTTTTCGCACTTGATATGTCGACTTGAGTTAAATTTCAGGTTTATGTCATCGGTGTTTTTTTTTAATTGAAATCATTTTCACAAACTTCAAGCTTTCTGCTCGTTTCGGATGTGGAAGATAGTACTTATAACCTGTGTCTTGCCAATTTATAATGATGCGTTTTCAAGTCTGTCGCGATAGTCAGTTTGATCGATTTATTACTGCGCTAGTTATTTTAGATTCGCTATCGTGTTGTATCATGCCATGCATCTGCCCTCATAAAAGGCTTACCTCTTCTGCTTCACTTATGATTGTTAGTAATTTGGACTCATCTCTGAGTTTATTCACCCAACCAATTCTTGCAATAGGTTTCTGAGTAGTACAAATAACCTTTTAAGCAAATAGTGTCACGAATTTTCCTGAATCTAATGGTTTCTATTGTTAACCCTGCTTCTGGCAGCACATTTTGATTACCCAGAGCTAAATTCTAGAATGTTCTCATGGCCCCCTTTCTGACACTATACACTCGACATTTCTGTCAAATCTCTAAATCCTTAAAATGAGTCTTTGTACTCGCTAACATCAAACTTCTGAAAGCTTACGTCAAATGTGTCACATGTTCACGTGGATTTTCAATGTGAAGGAACTAGTTTGTTGTAGTGCGTTTCATGCAAGTCTGCCTAAGATTTTGGTGATTTAAACAAAGACCGAAAAGTTTTTTATTTTTGTGCACGAATTAATTCAACTATTGCAATGGGTAACCATACATGCGTAATTTCTGGGGCGAGAGTCATACTCTTCATGTTGTCGCTGCTGAATAGGCCAGGCGTAAAGCTGGCCTGATTTCTCAATGATTATCATCAGGCATTTAAACCAATAATTCCTCATTCATATTTGAAATCTCATTTTCGAGGTCTTTGTATCTGTGGTGTACTTGTAATTTCTAAGCTTACAAGACACCCATTTGTGATTTTACAAACCATCTTTATTAGATTAACTTAGCTATTAAATTATTTTTAGTAGGCGGTAATATTTGAAATATTTTAAGGGACTGGCCCTTACAACAGGCTAAAGCTTGTGTTGCGTTCATGCGCCTAATTGCGTTCGGGCTACACCAAACTGAATCCCATTTAACTGAACAGGGTGCTAGTAGACATTCTGCGGTTCCACTGTTAGCAACGTTTGTTAAGTGGGTATCCGTTCCAACTTTTCCTTTTTTTCAGCACAAATTTTTTGATTCTGGTGATTACAACATGGCGCGAGCTAAAACTGCTCAACAGAAATCAATGACTGAGGAAGAGGCCATTGAAAAGGAGGAGATCCTTCAGGAATCGACGGGAGTTACCATCGCCACCCCTGAAAGTGTCCCAACAGTACGTCGAAAGTCGATGGTAGAGGGTCTGCGTTCGCATCGAGACAGTCTCATTGCTAGTGAGCCGTCTCACCATGCAGAGAATCAGTGAGGCCAATTTCGAGGAAGGAGAATGATTTGCTCCGCTTTTCGACTTCGTGATGTTCTTTTACTCAACATGAGCTGCTTACATGCTTTTCCCATTCTCAAGTCTGAGCAGCATTTGCAGATCTCCTCCAAGTACTCTGAGGATGCGTCGAACCCACTGGTATCCCGTGCTGCTCTTGATCTCATTGCGACATTCTCAAAAATAAATGAGGGCGCATGTTTTAATACTCATTTGCTACGCAATTCAGTGTGCGTGTTCATATTTTTTTTCTTATGAAAATTGTTTAGATTTTGTATTTAAGCAAAGCGAGTGACGATGCGCCAACATGAGGGTTTACACTACACTGCTATGGTCAACATATTAATGGCGCAAAAGTATCGACTACGGGGAGTAATTGGAGGGCTGGGGTTGCTTTCTGTGGTGGGTGTTCTAGGCCACGACCAGCCTACCACTCCGTGGAAAGGATCTAGACACAACTGGATTGCGTTCTAACTTATCGTGAAGAAGCATTTAGCAATGAATGTAGTTGGATGCGATTTGTAAGTTTGACCGATCGTTAACGAGACTGAGCGCTTAGTAGCTCGTACAGTGCGGTTCTCGAGATTACGTTCCTGTTAGTGTCAGTTGGTGTTATTTTTTCTGCACCTGCACACGCGTGCTAACCCCTCCTAAAAACGAAGTGGCGGAGGAGAGGAGGCCGACTCCTGTTGTTAGGCTAATTGTCTACTAATTGAGGGTACGATCAGACTCCTAACTACTGTATGGGTATGAGCGATTTGTGAGTCAGTAATGTCTGTGCCGAGTTACTCATGCACAATCAATCAGCGCTTCGGATTCCGATGCACTCAGTGATGTTACAATGCAGCAAAGGCGTTCACTCAACGCTTATCCTTTTCTACACAGCTTAAAAGTGTAGCATGAAATGGTCGAAAACTTAATGACTCAACTTTCGTACAATGCCACTCTCATCCGAAGTTATTTACATGGCTTTTAAGTTTGGAGTGCTGGGAACCACCGGTAATAACAGCAATACGATCCACTAAAAAACCTCTAAACACATGCAGCCAAGTTCATAATGCGAAATCCGTTGCACAGACCTAGAGAGAACAAGTCAGGACTACTTAAGATGTTCCAACACTTCTAAACGGGTCACTTAAAGGCCACTACGTTCTAAAAACACAGTAAACTTTGCATAGAATTTGGGCAAAAAGTGGTTTAAACTAGGCAGTTATTAGTCACTTGAAGACGCCCAAATCATGGCACACGCCCAGCCCCAATGCCCCATCGCTGCCCTACCGACGTGTGGCGTTAGGGTGGTGAGCTAGGCTGTTAGTACGCGAGGCACGAAGGGATGTGCGCACGCAGCCAAGTGTTGTGTTGCGACCTCTGCTTTTCGATTCTCGTTCGTCTTCTTTCTCGCCCCCGCCCTCCGTAGGAGTTCTCTCCTGTCAAAACACAGCAGTCTGAAAGAACCTAATAAGCCTGCATTTACAGAGGGCACGCTTGCCCCATGGACACGTGCACGCATTCGGAGCCAGACCAATGAAGGCGGGAACACGTTCAATCGTGCCTATGCGCGTGCACGAACACGCGTGTGTGTGTAGATGGGGTGCGGGCCAGAGAATAAATAACGTGAAAGACTGCATGATTGACACTCAGTCCGCCCCGTTATCACCATCGTCTCTGTACATTTGCGCGTGCCTGTGTTCATGCGCGCATTCATTTACGCTCTTGCCTCGTTTTCACTTTCTCTTGCGCGCGTGCGTCGTACAACACCACACCTCAGCTACTACAGCCACACTGCTTGGTCTACAACGTGATTGGCCAGTGCTGGGCATGCGCCTAGCCACTCAGTGTATATAAAATCATTTTGATGCAGACGTACTCTCTTAAAAAAGACAAAAAAACACTACTGTGCGCATTTGAGAGAGGTGCGGAGAAAGAAAAACTGCAACATCATCAGCGGAGCAATTCTTGCGGAAGTTATAATTAACATAGAATGCAACAGGAAGAAGACAACAAATAGCTCGATACTACCCATCGCGGTTGAAACTGGAGAAGGCCTTTACCTTACTGGTACGTCGGTCACTCCCTGCTGAGAATTAAATTTGGCATTTGAAAGTGGTATCTCACAGCTCTACAATTAAACTACAATTGCTTCTCCACCTTCGTGCCGCTCAAACCAGGAAATCACAGGTAAACCAGTGCCTCGCTGCATAACGTTCTCGCGTATCGGTAGTTAAGGCTTATTTTAAAACCTTCCTTAAAGTCTCCTTATCTTCTTCCGAACTACTGTCCACTAATAATCACATGGAGCGGTAATTTTTCCAACAATGATACCTTTGGCCTTTTCACTTAAAGCATTTATTTATATGGGTGCAAAGACATTCGAAAACGCAATGATAAAGGCTATCATTAACAGAGTTCCGTTCTTTGCTATCCCAAGGCTGTGCAATTATCATGGCAGTGCACTCGTGATCGCCCAACTTTTTTGCGACTGACAAGAAAATTGGTGTTGAAAGATTGAGATTTTGCGCCACCATTGAGAGGTATTGACTACAGCAAGGAATGCAAAAACAATTGTAAGCCTTGTTTGTCGAAAAAAGTTAGGTTATTTTCAATGATTCCCACCCACCCTTTCACAAATAACGCACGACCGGAGTGTGGACAGGGTGTAACTAAACTGTAGCACTGCGATTACTGTTGCTGTTGCTGCTGCTGCTGCTGCTGTTGCACGATATTTTAAGGCGTCCTCTTTTTCAGCTTGCCCTTTCCCGTCTCCTCTCACTATTCTATCTGTACTAAGCACGCCCAATTTCCTAAGCTTAATCTATTTACTACCCCTCTGTTTGCCAGCTCTACTCCGGGCTGATCTAGACTTAGAATCATCTGTTTCCATTTTGCACATTGAGTGCCACCACGGGGTGTCAAGGTGAATTTAATGTCAACACTATTTTCCTTTTAAAGCATACGTTGTGCAAATGAAACTCAAAATATTGCATTTGTTAAAATTTGCCCAAATTTCATAACCTGAGATATAATGGTAGATAGAATATGTTCTTCAAAGGTCAAACGTAGCCGTCTGGGTCGATTGCAGACGCTCGGAATAGCGTTTCAATAGCACTTCGAACGTATCGCTTTGCAGAATTAAAAAATTGGCGGATGAGTTCATCCTTGCATCACCATTGCTCCTTATACGATATTATCTCTTTCCGCATTGTTGCAATCGTAGCTTGTCGACTCAACGATCACATCCGGACGCGCAAATATTTTCACTGTGAAAGCAGATTATACACTTTGCGTCGTCCTTTGCTTCTAATAAATTACTACTTCTTTAATTTGAGGACGGCCCTTGCAATTGTGCTCGTCCGGAGGTGAATTTGAGGAACTGGAAAGATGTTGCTGGTTGTGGCATTTTTTTCACTATTCCCATCTCGATTTCGGTCTAAATGCAGGCAGTCTTAATGTGATTCGATGCACCTTTATTTACACCATTTAATGGAGTCCAAATTGGCTGTTTTAGTTGAAAAGCACGCAGTGCTGTAGATTGTGACTGTTCGCACCTGTTCCAACACACGACATAATCCGAATATTATCTGTATTGAATGCCTGTAAGTAGTTCACGATTACTTCTCGACCTTTTTTCCATATTTAAAATATAATTCGCCACTATTCTGCATTTTGACCGAAAATTATTTCCTCAGTGCTCTTCATCGTAAGCGGATTAACAATTTTATGACTGATGGTTTTGTTGCACTATTTAAATTCTCGAAATTGCTCTCACCATTTGTGACTTCCACGTTAACACCAACGGGTGGCAGTTTGATGTAAAGTATCTTTGGGTTGTTAAATTTGGACAAATTGCACAACAATTTGGAAAAAGTTGAGCGTCTGACACCAGCGAAGGGAAACAGCGAAAGCCAGAAGGACTTCGGTAAGAAGGCGAGTGTTGTCCTCTTTCAGCTTACATCATAGAAGAAGGACCTAATACGGCAAAAGGCGTGGAGGAGAAGATTGTTAAAATAGACTTTTGGAGGGTACAGCCTTATGTGTTTTTTTCTCTTTAACGCCTTTAAGACAATCAGTCGGTAGCTGTGACTGCGTTACGAATAGAGGCTGGAGAGTGGAGTAATGAGTGGGAACACATCATTGGCACCCTAGATCCACTAGTCTCTAGTAGTTTCCATCCTCTACACGACTTGGGGAGCACTTGAGCCGATGGTCTCAAGTGGGTTTATAAATGCACCGCTGTTCTCGAAATTCTCAACCCCACATTGGAACAAAGAGAGACCGTGGCTAAATTTAGGAGCACCACCATTGTACCTCAAATTGGTTCAACACGTTTTAACTTATTTTAAGCATTAAGTAGTATGATTGAGCTAATTATTGTAGAATTTTCAACCTGTTTTGATTCCTCTTAAGGCAAATCCGTCACGGTTGCTGAGTCTCGCCGACTAGTTATTACGAAAGTGATGCCGGTGTCCGCGAAAGTATGCACTTCTCTTGCCTTCACTGACCATCAATTGATTAGGAAAGCATTCGTGTGAGAAGCACATTTGGAAGTCAGCGTCGTTGTTTATTTGGAAGCTATATAAAAATCTGCGTTTAAATCGCAGTGATCATAGCAAGAGGTAAAGAGTTTGCCAGTCGAGATGATGTCTATAAATCTACCCACTGGTTAACTATAGCATGAGCGATCAGCTGTCAAATTTTCTCAAATGGCGGGAATAATTAGCATACGCATTTCTCTATAATTTACATATGTGGGAAGTGGTGGAGCATTGGCATAATCACTCTTGGTGTAATTCGTTTTAGAATAATTTTACCTGCCTACTGTCGCTGAGATGAGCCCACCATTGAGACAGCTCTCCTACCGATCTACTCAGGAAGTGCACTTCTCAATGGCTATCCTGGCAGCTGCTCACATTTGCCTCACAGTCCTCGTATTCAGTCTTCATTTTGGAAAAGGTGCGCTTTATTCATTTGCAAGTGATTGCCTAACACTGCAATACTGTTAGCTATAGACTTCACATTTGATTGTTTTATCCATATTATAATTCATTTTGAACATTTCAAACGAACTCAAAGGACGAATTTCCGATTAATGCGAAACAGCAACCGCTCTTCACCTACTTCATTAAAACAACTGGCTACTCTTTCTTTAAAATCGTGCAGAATTTACGTGTGTGCACCTGTATCATGATGTGAAACTCCATCACCTCCATTTTTCATTGAATCAAGTAACAATGACAGCACCGTCAAGCTACTAGTGATGAGGTAGTAGAAGAAGCCTACTTGCTAACGTCACTTTTGTTTGAGCACTAGTTGTTCAAATCACATGTCAATGTAGCTACATTCTTCCCAATGAATCCCATTCTTGGGAGGCGTTTTACGCCTTTCCCGTCTCTTGGTGGTGTGCATCTAAAAGTGCCGGTTAAGAAGTCTTGGAGAAATGAATGATGGCTACGAATGCATGAATTTTGGTTGAGCGAGTTCAGTCACTTAAAGGCTCCTGAACAGGGAAATTTTGGGAGTCCTCAGGTATCAGTATCGTTGCGTGGAGAAGTTCAATTCAAATTCGTTAATGTGGTTTTTTCTCCGTTCCGGAGAAAAATCAAGCTGCCGATGGAAAGAGAGCGCAAGTGAGAAAGCGAAAGCGAGAACGGGAGCCATAGCAGCAGCATTGGGCTGGTGCATGCGTGTGTGTGCAGCAGAAGGCGCGTGTGCACGCGCGGCATGTCACACCCGTCAGAGCTGTCAGGCGCGGTTGACTTTTCCCGGTCCGAAGGGGCCGGAAGGCAGGCGGGCAGGAAAGCAGGCAGGAGAGGGGTATGAGGAGGAAGAGGAGAACCGTAGTGTAAGGAGGTGTAGGAGGGTCGTGGGGAGGTGGAGGTGAAAGTGGGTTGGCTTCGAAAACCGAGCCTGTCAGGCTGTCAGTTTTGGGTAAATCAGCAGTACAGCGCGTGCCAAATGGCATCCCCACCATACTTCGACCTCCGACAGTCCGGAACTGGTTGTTTTCCGGACCCAGAAGCTGATATCTGACAATTACTCCCTTTCTCACGCACTTACTATTCGTGGGTCAACTATTCTGTGATTAATTTGACTTTAAATTCTGCTTTACAACTAACATCCACTCTCTGTTTATTGTCTCCATTTTGTTGTAGTTATTATTTTCTTGTCAAACGTAAGTTTGCATTCATCTGGCAGTCTTGACGGGCTAATAGAGCCTTAAAAATAAGCAGTGAAAGGCAACAACTGTCCGTGGGAAAGGGTGGGGAATGCTACGTTGTCTTACTTCCTTCCTCGAATTAAATTGTGTACCGGATGTTTTTTCCAGACAAATATTTCAACACAACAGGAAAGGAATTTACATGCAGGTTTTTTCCACCATTGACGTAAATGAATTCGATTGAATGTAGTTCCAAGCTTCATTCCCAAATATCACTGATGTTGCTCACAGTTGTGGGAGTGAGTAAAAGCTTACACATGCATATGTTCTTCTAACAAGTAGTAGTAATTTCTGCGCATGGGGCAGCAGAAATTAAAGTGGGTAGTTGAAAGTGGCAGAACACATTGTAGACAGAGGCGAGATGAGCTACCCTCGTTGGAGGATTGGGAGGACCGTGGATTAGGTGCGCATATCGTATGGCGGTGCATCGCTCCTATCACATGCGCTAGCTTAAGTGAGCGTTTGTGATGATTCCAGCTGTTTGACGAATTAGCCACGTAGGGAGGATTTTTGGTTGACTGGAAATTCTCTTGACTTTTGAAACCAAAACTGGAGAGAGATTGTTCTTGTAGCTTTATGCGCTCCAAATAGTAGTGGTATGAAGTTGATTAAGTTCTTTTACATCAACAGGTTCACTTGTCCTTCAGAACCTCGGCACACTAGCTTGGATTACATTTGTGCAGAGGGCAAAGCGTCGCCTGAAACCCAATTACAATGCGCTTATGAAAAGTTGAGGGTGTGTGAAAGGCAACGGAATTGTTGTGCAACTGTGAAAAGGCTTCAAAATTGTCAATTTAAACACGATGCAGAGAGTTCATTTCCTAAACTAAAGCTAATTTGTTTGCATATAAGTGCTCTCCAATGGGGCGGGCAAAAATATGTTGGCATCCATGTTAATATTCCACTAAGAATATCAATTACGAAGGCAGCCAACGCACTCAGTGGTGAGGGTGCGGAGAACCTCCACAGCACACCTCTAAGCTGAATGAGAGCCACGTTCATTGAATCCCGCAACCCATTTTTTGCACCTCCAGCCCCAACGCCTAAATCCATTAGTTCGAGTTCTGAAAAGCATCGATGTACGTTAAGATTATGATTTTATTTCTGTTGAATTTATCATCTCCCTCAGTATTGGTGCTCATTATGCACAAATGTTCCGTTTTGCAGTGGAAAGGAGAAGAAACGTTTTTAACTATTTTGGTTTAATATTTTGCAAGGTTCGGATGTTGAGTTGCGTCAGGTTGCAGATGATTACACATAATATGTATCACTTCCTTGAGGAGAGGCGTATGAAACACACAATTGAGTTCATTAAAAATAGCGCATATCTTCACTAAGAAGCCACATTTGCTACATTGAAAGTGGATAGCAGTAGAACGACATGGAGTGCATGTTTTGAACATTTTGTTTAAAGTTGTGGGTGCATTTTCTAGTGCTGAGAATGAGATGTGGTGATGTGCCGAGGCAAGCAAGATTAGAGCCTAACTGAGAATGGATGGGCTTATATTAGGGGCTTTTTCTCATTGTTGATAATTTTTAGCCCCAGATGATCCCACTGTTCACTTTCAAATCTGGGTAAACCGGCATCCCCTTCAATCACACACTTTAATGTTATTGTACTTTCTTCTCCATCAATGGGACATTGCGAAATTGGCCTAACGTAGACAGAGATTATTTTCTTCACTACCCTCTTTTATCCGAGTGAAGTAGAATTGTCTCGTGTATTTTTTTCTTCAAATTGTGCATTCCCCATTGTCAAGCGTCCATCGTGAGTCGTTTCTTTCCACCCTACTTTGCTCCACCTCTCGCAAGGCAACGCTAGCACTACCATCTCCCACCATCGTTGCTCCTTCTGCCCTCCCTAACTGATTCTCCTGCTCGCTCTCCCGTTTCCTTCACTAACGTCTCCAATCTACTCCCACTCTGGACAATTGATATGTTAGTGGGTGTGATAATTGCTTGACCCGCTTGGGTGTTTGTGCATAATGCATAGTCCATCGAGGGAGAAGCAGAATAAGGTATAAAAGGGCTAGAGTCGTGCAATTGTCGAAAGGAAGTGAGAAGAACTTTCCCATGGGAATCTGGATTTTAGATGAAAATGCATTTGTTTTGGCGATAATGTAGGTCAAATCCAAAAAAATAGATTTTAAAAAGCCGTAGGATCATAACCGTGAATGATCCGTCAAGTCGGTTTCGATAAAAACGACTCCCCTACTGGTTTCTATGATCGTAAGTAACCTTTTCCCGTTATCGAAAACTGCACAAAATCCCATGTTAACGTTCGCATTTGAGTAGCAATATACCAAAAGCAAACCTTGTTAACCACCAGAACTTAATTTGGTGTTTTATTTACAGCAGAACGCTGAGTTTTGGAGAGACGAAAAGATAGCTTTTTTTCATTGGCTGCCCTGAAGAATTGGTAAAATAAGAGACGTCAATTTGTAGTGTAGTGCTTTTGCATGCCCTCACGTTCGCTCACTCCTTCGCCTTCCTCCTCCTCCTCCTCCTCCTCCTCCTCCTCATCCTCATCCTCTTGTGCTTTCCCCGTACAGACTCGCGTGAAAAAGGATGCACGTTATGCGCATCCCGATCGTGCCAGTGCACAAACCAACAGGCTTTCCCAGTTGAACGGTATAAATGCGGAAGGAAACCGTTCTGATCTGCAAAAGTCGTCAACACCTTTTCACTACTGCCTCTTTATTAAGGCTTGCTATTAAAGCTAAAATAAGTTTGTGCGAGAAATTAAGGAGTGAGAATTTAGCTTCGGCATTCTTTTCTATACTTAATCTGCTAAACTCAGAAAGGGAGAACTTTTATGCATGCTTTGCAGCACTCTACGAGATGGTGCAAAGTGAATCAACAGTTTGAAATATTTTCCCTTTCCACATGGACGTCGAGTGTATTCACCGTTGTGTACAGGCGAACAAGATTCAATGAGGTACAAGCTGAACAGTGGTGTTTCGCGTGTTACACTGTTGCACAGTTGGAACTAGAACTGTTTTCCGTTTCAATACTATATTCACTCCAAAACTTACTAAGTCCTCCTACTTCCCCTATTCTGCAGTGACTTATGATGGTTTTGCGACCATACGCTCACTAGCAATCTCAAATGCTTCTGTTTTCCACGAAATGTAGCCACTTATTTATTCTCCTTTTTACAGATTAGAATCAAAATAAAACGAGGCACTCCAAGCGCTTAAAATTAAATCAGGAATTTTTTTGAGCCAGAGCTTTATCGGCATTTCTGCCCTCCTCCATCATGCAGACACGAAGGCATTGTTGCTGTTGCATAGCCAACAAGTTTCTGTGCTTTGTGGCAGGTCTCGTGTGAGAATTCGAGGTCTTTTTGTGAATGTCAATCAGACTTTTTGATTGGTGTGTGTATGTATGTATTTATAAACATTTACCAAGAGTCGAGACGACGTAACAACTGAACAGTGTGAAAAACAGCGGCCTGAATGCCATCAATAAAACACGCTGATTGGCAGCCGTTGTCCATCAACTCGTGTGGAGAAGCGCGCACACACCACACGCCGTCGAGGCGTGGTCTGACCCTCACACTCATTCCGATTCGTGCAGCACTCCGAAAACTGTTACCTCTCTGCCATTGTCACAGCAATCCCCAGCATAACAGTTTATGAGTGCTGCAATAGTAAGGGAACAAATGGGGTGCTCCAGCACTAAGTTGGAAAACATTCCCAGTAAAGTAATGCAGCGATGCACAGGTTTGAGTTGACGAGGCGATTCACGTAGCGCATTATGTTATACCCTTGGAGTGGGATCAGCATCGAACTAGCTATTACCGGATTATATCAGAGAGAGCGATTAAGTTCGGATCGTTTTCATCCACTCCTCCGTGCGTGAATCGCCTGTCCAGAAATCGGTTCGACACTTCACAAACATGACTCATCCTCGCAAGTCTGACGACCACATTGGAAATGCCCTCACAGACAACGGCAACAATGCGAGTCTTCAATCCCATGAGGTAGTGAAAGACCCCATTTTTGTCGCACACGAACACACATGAACGTGTAGAGAGCGGTTAATCTGTTCACAGTATAGTAAAACGCTTCATTTATTGTAAACGATTACGTTTAGGAGCGAATACCTTCAGTCGTCTGCCAACAGTTGTTTCATTTTCTAAGTGTTGCTTCTAGCTCTAGCAATTGGGAAATGGTCATTCACACCAGTGAAGCAACAGAATGATTCGATTTGAGCACGTGGAAGGATACCGCCATGCCTGCATGTAGTTGCTTCCCAAGCATCTTACTACCAAGTCCCCCAACTTAGATTTCATCAATCTAGCAAGCTAACCAAAGTTCAACAAATAGTTTCATTTAATCCCAATTAATTTGATTTGAATGTACATGGGAGATGATAATTTTGCACAACCGATAAGAATCTACACCATTAGATGCAAATGCCAAAGCTTGTAAACACAACGTACCATCTTTTGTCAATACATCATACGATGTTCCATTTCAATTGCCGAGCCCTGCCGATTGGCTTAATTTCGCTCAACGGTGCTTCTTTGGTCACAGACGCAACGACCCCGTGTTGCCTTAAAGTGCATGCGAGTCGACGTGGATGGGATAGAGGAAGTGAGTGAGGAAAGTGTCGAAGGCGTTCCTCTTTTACTTTAACATTTAATGAGAGGAAATAAAATGTTACTAAGGGCCAAACACCACACGCCATTTCTCCTGTACACTCACATGTCCAAACAATAGTTTTTCCAGGTAGCGTTTCTATCTGTTTATTTATCTCTCCACATCACCATGCCCTTTCCATCCGTCAGCGACAACCAACGCAAGATAAGGAAAGAAAGCGAAAGGGAAATGAACAGTAGCACCCAACGCACGCATACTGCAGTGCTATGAATGAGTACGCACTCATAAATAAGACATCAAGTGTGGCATGCACTACGAACAACAGGATAGAGACTTCTTTTCGCATATTTACGGAGTATGCCGACCTACTGCGTCTCGCACGGAGAATGATGACAACAGCAGCCACCCTATGCATTGAAGATTCACTAAGCCCATTTTAATCAGTCTCTACACGCACAGCTCAGATTCGTAACCTTTACTAATTCATTTTTTTCATTTGCATCATGAAGACAAAATAAACTAATTTGCTAAAATAGCCGCGTTTTCTTCAAGGTCCAAAAATTTTGAAACAACGAATTAGGTAAGTATTTTAGAAAAGGTGGATAAATCATTCCACTAATAATTTGATCACATCAGACTCAGAATATGACAGTTTCTTCTACACTTACTACCCTCCACTTTGACAGCGTTTTTTGCATGCCTTTACCTTCTTGCATCCACGAAAATGAGCACTATCAAGTCGATCGGAAATAACCGTAAATATGTCTTCTATCATCGTACCTAGCGATGTCCCAACTCTATGCGTGTATCTGTATGCTCACATACGCCAAGCATCAAACGGTTAGGGCTGACAGTGTGGCAGCCCTTGGTTGTAAAGAAATTATTTGGATTAAATTTGACAGTGCTCTATGCACGACGTTCACTTTCTAGCATAGCTTTCTAGTTTAGATTGATGAGCTTGAGGCTCAACTGAAACTCCCACTTGGGGTCTGTGTTTTGAAATTTCAACCAACATTCTCTTCTTTTCCGTGTGATTTTAGCCAATGCTACAGCGCTGCACTACAGAGTGGATTATCGTCGAGGTTACTTGGTCAACCTTGGGGACACCATAAACCTCACGTGCCCCTACACAGCTCCATTCTACAAATGGACTCCAGCGTCACAGGCCTCATGGATCCTCTCGGAGGACCAGATGTATTCCCTAAAAGCGGACAGCCTTTCGGTCACCGGAAAGTACATCTGTAGCGCCGTCAACGGATTTGGTCATAACGCAGCCGAGTTCAATATTAAAGTTATTGGTACATTTCCTTCGTAACAATTGGAGCTTACGTTCGTGAAAATTCTCCCCTCTCGTTTTTAGTGCAGTTCGTCAAATGCCCATCCCATACAGAGGAATAATTATAAATTATAAACAATAATAATTTAAATTTAGATTGTTTTTCTACTTATTTAAAAATAAGCAGAAATATTTATTTAGGCTTTGAGAGTCGAATATGTATATCAAGACGAATTGAAATAGCGATACTTCTTTTTAGACAAATTCTCCCCTGCACTCGAACAAAACTGTGCACTCCTGTCGAATGGTCGTGTTAGTGACTCCGGTATGTTCTGCTATTATGTTCGCCGATGCTGCTCTGTGTGGATCGCTTACTATCACAATTTGATAGGAAGCTACCAGTGATTTAAGCTCTAATTCCTAGGAAATTACTATCTTACCTGTGTTTTCTTCGTTTCACCTATCTGTTGAACGAAAAGGAAAGCACTGAGACTTGCTATTTTAAAACTGAAAAATTAGAAGATTAATGGGAACCCAAGCCTAAATGCACAAACTTACTCTAATCTCCATCTTTTGCCTCTTAAGTAGTAAAATTTCGCGTTGAATTAAGTTTGTGCAATTGTTTCTTGCAAAGTCTTATATTGGTTACACTTTTTGCTACCGAAGTAGGAAATGAGACATAAGGAGTGAATTTGATGTTGCAGTTGATCCTTTAAAACACCACTAGGTCCATGTTTCCTCAACATTTACTCGGAAGCAGAGCTGTCACAGCTACTGGCTTGGGGTGAAGATGTAAATTTGGATTGCGAGAGCGTTGCCGTCGAAGGTCTAGCGGAACGGGTGGCATACACATGGACATTTCATCCCCTCAATCCTATAGACGTCGGTCCGCACATCGATGATCCAGACACCCACCCCTCCTTCTACCCCAACGATCGTGATAGACCACCTCACATAACTGTAAAGAAGGAGAGCACCGATCTGACGCCAACAGAGGCCGTCGCTCGATTCACCGGGTCCACCTTGCGCATCAGAAAAATCACTCTGGCTCATGCCGGTGAGTACCGATGCTCCGTTAACGTGGACGCCAAATTAGGCAACCCCTCGGGCGCATTGACCATTGGTAAACTCTTACGGACATTCAGAATTCGCGTTCAAGGTAAGTAGAGTTTTAAAACCAAACTTAAAGCTGCAACTCTTTTCAATAGTGATGTGAGGGGCTCTGTGACCGGAAGCGTGGATGTAAGCATCTGAAATGTGCACAAAAACATACAAGTACAATTTGCTATACAGTCTATACAGTCTATTTTCTGATTTTTCATAGCTCAGGATCAAGTCAGACTCAAGTCCACATTCCACTGACGCAATCAAATGAGCTTCTTGTGGATACGATACTTGTTATTGAGCCGTTCAGTAACATGTTTACTGCAGTGGTTGATAATTACAGACTTGTGATTTTTTTACAATGTTTCCAAAAGGGGATGATTTTGCAAATAATTAGATAGGTTGCTTGATCTAATAGGCACTTGGCTGTATCTCCTCATTACGAGTAAGTTTTTTTCGCTTTTGGTTACACCTCTTTTAAAGACAGACAGGAATAAGCTTGCAAACTTTTATCGCAGTTTTCGACATAAACGAGAAGTATTAAAGTTTGCAAGGTTGCAGTTTCTGTTTTCACTCAATCGAAACGCAATGTTGACCGAGAAGATGCTGTAGAGGCTTATACTTCGTACATAGATCATTGTAACTTTTGGGACAGGTTTAGCAGTGCATACACCTTTGTATGCATGCATCAAGTGTCCTTTTGTGGTTGTCGATTTGAGTCCATGCTCTTTGATATATTTTCCAACTATCGAAAAGTCAATCAAAATCAAAGCAGAGATTGTTCTATTTTTGGGTTCCTCACAACAAATGAAGCCTTATGCAGTCCAAGCTTACTAAATTTGCGCTACAATCTTGGCTGAATCCCTCACATTGACCACTCACTGTGTTGACTGCGTCTACCGAATTACAGAGAGCTTTAAAGGAAACTGCTTCTAAGCTCTCTCCTCGAAGCTTAGTACACCCCGACAGATATGAATTTCGATGCTCAATAATTGTACGCACGGTTGAATTGTACTGTTGCAACAAGCCGAGAAGCCCATGTTCGTTAGTAAAGACAAATGAATAAAAATACGCATTTTTCATTGAGATGGTTGAGGAGGAAATGGAGTGGATAGGTGACGGCAGCAACTAAAACGGCATAGAATCAGGTCATCCGAGGCGTTTGAAAGCGAGACTCTACAGCACTTCAGTCATGGTTCCCACACTGACGGGTGAGACTTCTGGATGCGGTGATGGATGTGAACCTGAGTAAGGTTTGATTGTCTTTAAAAGTCTCCCCTTAGAGCCAAGTTTGGCAGGATCTGCAAATGCATATTCATTTACGTTGCATACAGTATCCGCAAAAGGTTTGCCTTGCCTTTTGGGCAGTATTTACACTTTCATTCGGCAAGTGTTCCCTCGAAATTCCATTTTTAATGTCGATCAGCTGAAAATTTAATAGGCACATAAAATGAGGATTTAACGAGACGCGTCCAACCTTATTTAAGCATTACAACTGAAGTGATGTAATTCAAGTTCACTCGAGATGTATCCTACTTTTATTGTAGCAAGATCAGAAGGAGAAATTATCCAGGGTCCTCACAATATAACCACAACCATCGAAATAGGAAGTGACGCCACTTTTCCTTGCGAAATAAACGAGGAGGAGCACCGGTCAGCAACCATACGTGTAAGAATCTGAATGCTCGGAATTGTACCAACCCCTCAAAGTTAACGAAAATTTTGAATAATTGTGATTTTTTCCTGTTTAGTGGGGCAAATATATATCATTGGATGAGTCTGGTTCGACTGACTTCAGGACAAGCGAAGTTCTTCACTGGTCAGGTGGCACATACGTTGTGCTGCCAACTATTTTGCCTCAAGATTTACAGCAATTCTTCGATATTTCCAAACCGCTCGCAGTTAGCAATCCAGGATCTAGGCGGAGTCGCCTTGTTCTGAGGTCGGCTTCACCGCGCGACGCCGGCCTGTACATCTGCTCAGTCATAACCGAATCTGGAAGAGATGATCACAAATTCGTGCACATTTCACTCAAAGGTTTACACATTTGCTCATTTACATATAGAAATTAAATTAAATTAAAATTCCCATGCGTTGAAAAGGAAACATCATTCCACTTATTTCCAAAACAAAAGCTTAATATTTGAAAGACTCGCCCCTGAACACACTACACTTTGTATAATTTTTCTGCTTTCAGAACGAGAGTTTGCTTCCAAAAAGGAATCTCCTGTAACTGTCCATCTTGACACGTTTGTAAACAGTTTAATTTCATACATACTACCTTGAATAACATTGGCAACATTTTCACCAACTGCCGACGTAATTTGTGAGCATCAAGACAACTAAACGTAGATTGGAATTGGCCTACAATATGAACCAAAATACCGCACTATGAAGGAACCTTGTTGGCATTTGGCGAACTGTGTAGATCTGAAAATACTCCACCAAAGAGACATGAGTCCTATTGGCTTTCCACTATCTGTTGTGCAGTTTACTCGACCTCCAGTTACATCCATCTCCCACTTCACACACCGCCACCGAGAATAGCCTGCGACATGGCAGAGCGCTTGAAGTGAGAGCGCGACCACCAATTGTATTGACACTGCACGACACCAAATGACTAAACAACCGAAAAAAGGTTTTGTTGTGTAGTTCACTCCCTCACTTGTTTACTTTGGAGTGACAAAGTCCTGATTGCATGCATCCAAACTTTTTTATCATCATACATAATGAAGTTGCAACAAGGTGTACATAACCTTTGGACAAATGATGCATTTTTAAAGTTCATTTTTATTTACGCAAAGAGTTCCGCGCGTAAATTTAATTTCAACATGTATATATTTTTTTCTAGATGGCGATAAAGTAATCGAGGGTTTGAACAGTATTCGTGGGACAACTCCGCGTCACTTAACTATTTACATAGCAGTACCGATTTGCGTTTTTCTGGTCTGCATTTGTGCAGTCGCCTCGGTCGTTATTAGAAATCGCAGTCGTCTAAATCGACAGCGAATTCACCGAAATGGCCAGAAGGCCTTCTTCATCAGCCAGAGCGTGGGAGCAGTAGGCGAGAAACCAAGCCTTAACTCTTCCCATCGCTTCCTTGATCATAGTTCCCTCGCGGGAAGCGCCTCAATGACATTCACGAGGAGTGGAAGCCCTCAGCGTCAGGGCAGGTCGACAGTCTCATCCAAAGTGCCTCCAGCCAGCCATTTGCAAATACGCCCCTCACCCATGAACAGTACCACCAACACCAGCACTAGTCAGCTGCAGCCTGCGCAGTTCTCGCCTAGCCACGTGCAGCCCTCCCCATACGTTTATCCTAGTCTCACTACGGAGTGCGCGTACCCCTCTTCTGACGGTGTTCCCATGCGACCTCCTTTTACCTCGTCTCCAATCCCCACTTATGGGTCTCCTGCCTATATAAACGGTCATGTGCCCAATGTGGAATTTCAAAGGTATCCCCAAGTTAAGGGTATATCGTATAGCGGATTCCCTCAATCAGGGGGGTCCAGTGCCTGCACCACTGAAGTTGGTCTCGATCAATCTGGCAATCCTTTCATAACAACAGGTACTGGTCCTCAGTGCGATCCCGTGAACGCCCAAGAACCGCAAAGTAGGCGATTCTTCTGCATAAGTCCGTCAAGCGGACAGGATAATGCAGGCCACATGCAGACGTAGAGGAATGAACCGTCCTCAAGCTTCCGTACCAAATTCTACTCGTAATGAAATTAGTGTATTTCCTGTATGCGTTTGAATTATTCGGGGCACAGTGTATATGCATGCGGCATCTTCAAAAAAACATTGCTTCCTGTTTTCACTGCCGACACTGCAAAAAGTCTTGTGATCTTCCACCGCATTTCCCAATGGATGCCTTAAAATACCACAGCCCTCCTTCCTCCGCCTTTCTTCCCCAACTGTCCCCTCCACATCCAATCTTCAGGATCTCTTCTGTGATCTAAAAGGTCTGATAACAGAATATGAATTTTCAACGGGGTATAAATCAAGTATGAATGAGCAACGCAGAAGCGTCTAGTCAACGAGTGCACCCGTCAGTCATCCTTCATTCGAAGCCGTGACCTCCAGTCGGCCATTTATATAGACTGACACCACTGTAGAGCTTTTCTTTCTAAACAATTTACATTTCTTTTATTCCCTCAGGTAACCTATGTGCAGATGGATGTATGCAATTTCTTACACGATAGAAAGCATTGTTTCGACGTTTTGCCAATTTTTCCCTAGGGCATGTTAAATCTAAACGACCCCATATCGCCCGCTTTCTGAGTGGCGCACATCAATATCTTGGAAGAAAATCTTAAAATCTAGTAGGAATACGGGTGCGATAGGTTGCAATTTTTTTATCTTTAAACGACTACATCATTACTATAAGAGCGTGCATTTGCAACTAGCACAAAAAACCTTATGCTTATTTGTTAGTGCAAATGTATGCTAAATATGTGAATTCTCGTAGAGGTGGTTAGCTAACGCATGATAGGGAAGCAGAAAGGCGCAGCGGAGGTTCATGTAATCGGTAATACTGAAAGGAAGGAAGGAAGCACTGTTACTTCCGCCCATCCACCTCTAATGTAGACGTGAACAATAACAGAAACTACGGCGGACCAAAAAAGCTTGAGACTCACTTAACGGGATGAACGTTGCCTGAGTGACACAGTTGGGCAGTGAAAAATCATGGCCGTCTGCGCTAACCGCTACTCTGTACGACTGCAGCCAAACACCACTTCTAACATTACTGTCACAACAGAAGATATCTAGTGTTTCAGCAAAACACTAACTGATCAGACCTTTCAAACCATCGCAAGTGCAGATAATGGCTAAATGATATTCGAATGGCCCCAGTGTTGACGATCCCTTCATGGCATATTATAAGCAGAAGCGTTGCCCAGTCCAAAGGGCAACCTTAGTCTAATCCGCCTTTACTGATTCGACTGTCTAAAACTAGATCAACGATCAACCATTCAAAAACGCCATAAGAGTTGCCTCAACTTACTACTTTGCATGCTGCTCGGGCTATTGCTAAAGATCACCGCTAATATTCAAGAACCGCCGAAGTTCGACAGAAAGCAACGCACTGCGACAATTGCACGCAAAGGCGCTATGAGTGGTGAGCCACATTCTCAGCCAACGCAGAGACCTGGAGGTGTTAAACCTCAAATCAATGGTCAAGTGGAGTGGTTCTTTGACCAATGCAAGCGATCACTGCTAAAATCAAGAATGGAGAAGAATTTCGTTACGAAAATTAAAACCAACAGCATCGGCAAAATCACCAAGTTTCTACCAATAAGTCATTGAATAATAGAGCAGCTTACATACTGATAGAGTAAAGTGATTTCGATGAAAGTTATAGTGTTGAATTAGGCCCCAAAAAAACAATTCGCAATGGAATTCGGGAAAATTACAGACGGTTAACGGGGATAGAGTCAATGCATTCAGTATAACAGAATGTTCAAGATGAGGTATGAAGCTGTATTTGACAAAAAAACGAGAGTCACGCCGACGGTTACGAGGATTATTAGCGACTTCATTGTACCTTTAGAGAATATTTATAGCATAATGTGAAAAAACGAGACGCGCCTGTCGAGTATGCGTCAATCAAACTCGCTGTGTGAAGGGGGCACTACAATTGTTTGAACAAAAATTCACATTTCCTGACCATACAGCCCAAAATCAGGACCCATCAACTCCCAAATGTAAATGTATGCAAGCACACTTGATGAATGTGTGATGAACTAAAATTAGAGAATTTGAGGCTTATAGATGCGAAAAGTTGCCAGATAAGTGCAAAAGGAAGTAAACAAAATCTCCAGCACCCAAACATACTTCGTTACGAATGTGCACTCCAATGCTGTTGGACTGCAGCCCTCCGCATTGCGTTTCTATTTACCTATCCCAGTAGATGCGGCATTTCTACAGTCCGTCTTAATATCTGTTTGATAGATAGTGGGCACCCAGATTAGCTATTTCAAAATACTAAAGCTATAAGTTCTCAATACCAAATAACAAAGAATTTGTTCCGCCAAAAGGAGCTCCCGGAAGTGGCGGGAGTTTGCGAAATGACCGAAGAGAAAATGTAAAGGAAAGTACATTTATCTATTCAACTTCCGAACATACGAACTATCCAATCTCATTGATCTCAAACAACATTTAAAGATTAATACGGCGATTTCGAGGGCATTTTAATTATTCACAAAACACACATTACTTCGACTTGGGGTACTTAATAACCAACATCAATTCATTGGTAGATAACTTCCAAACAGGCATTATGCATTGACTGTATCAACAGCGAAAACATCACGGTAAGCGAACCTTGAAACTGATTTATGAAGTAGTGCAGCAGAAAATACAGAACTCGCAGACACGTAATGACGGTCTGTTAAAATGCAAATGTGATATGGACATTTATTCGTCGAGATTTTACAGAGTTAAATGAATAAAAAAACTTTTGAAAATAGCAACTGGAGTATGTCCTTTAAATTAATATAGTGGAAAAAAAAGCTTGGAAAACCTTGACTTGGAGTGATCCGCTCGATTGTCTAATGATGTCTACAAAGTAAGGAAGAGTTGGTTAGCACAATCCTATAAATGGACTCAGGAGAGGTACTTGTAATCAATGGATTCTGTTAGCAATTTGTTAGCTTAAATTTAAAAAAAAATGTGCCACGCATAACGCAAATGCGATATAGATCTTTGCAAATATGGGTAATTCCAAGTCGAATGAACTAGGTGTGGATGCGGGTGGAATCTATCAAAGAAGCGTTCATAGAATGTTTGTATGCACAGCACTGACAGAATGATTTGACCAGTCAAGATAAAGATAAAACCGTACAAATATGTCTACGAGTTTTTGGAGCGAATATTTGTCTCCAATGTTGGCAAAGAAGGTGGCACTCTCGCAGAGTTGATTTTTCCAGGTTACTTCAACTAGAAATAAACACAATAACAGTAGAACACGAAGTCCCGATGGGACCTTAAAAGCACGAACTAAATGCCACACGTCTTTACGATAAATTAGTAGAACTTGAGCACACAACTCACCATTGAGGTAATCTGCTAAAAGAGACAACCACAGTTTCATATTTGTGAGGTGCATTACAACCGCTGGTTCAGCTTGGTGACAAATATCGGTGAAGATTTCAAAAATACTTGTCCCATCCCCTAAAGAAATTTGCCTATGAACTCCTTCGAAAGACGAAATTGTGGCCATCATAATGTTGCAGATGTTAGCGAAAGTTTTCATGTGGTATTGCCGACTGAGCAATGCTGCGCATTCCAGTTGGTTAAGCGCTTCAGAAAATACACCATTGGACGCAAAGATTTCCGCCTTTGAAAGGGAAAAAAATATGATAAGGACATATGATTTCATTAGTGAATGCACTTATGAGGTGGGGAAGAATTACGGCAGGCACCTAAATGCCGTGTGATTCGTAAGTTCATTCCGCTTTTCATGGACGGTATAGCGCCACCCGGAAGTATGGTGAATCAATCCATAATTTGAAAGGTAAATGAAGGTCATGTGGAAAGGAATGAACGGAAATTGGAAGTGGCAATATGCAAAACAGAAGCAACCACGCTGACGAAGAACTGTAATGGAGGCTCAAAGCTAGATTGACACACCTACCATGGCTATGCGGGCACGAATTTCGAAGCGCACAAGAGCTGCGATTCCACCAGCTCTAGGTGGTTCTAGAAGTTTGAACGATCTTCCCATATTCTCATCATTCGCCTCCTTGTATTGAGCATAATCGTCACCCACACCAGTAGCCGTTCTTAAACTCTCAGCTCCGTCGGCCAGCGCCTGAAGAATATCAGTAGCCAGGGCTTGATTTCCTCTCCTCATTTCCAAATTAGCTCGTCTAGAAGGAACGTTCATTCAACGTAAAGCCAAAACTATTGCATAAATTCCTCCAACATGAAGATGAGTGGGGACCTTAAATGCGCAAATTATGCAGAAATGAAGTTAAAACGTAAGTTGATTAAGCACAGATGCTGAAGATAATAGTGTCACTTACATGTCCCCATACCTAAACAATATCATTAATTATTGAACACTGTTAGCTACCTCAGATTGGCTTCCCACGGACAGAAAAGGGCCAAATCATTGATGAGCCGACTGCATTTACTTAAATCGGTGTCAGTACGGAGAGCTTGTTCCAACTGTGTTTCTACGCGAGCACGTTCAAAATGTGCGAACTCCTCAAACCGACCAATAGTCCCGATGGCTGATTTGATTATCTGTACTGCTTGAGCAGGCAAACCCTACAACGTTCAGTAGGCCAATTTTCACCATCACATGAACGATTGACGGTGATAAAGTGTTCAGGATAGAATGCTAAACTTGAGATTTACTCATACACGGGAAGTTTAAAAACAAATATAAACAAAACAGTCCTAGTAGGAAAGGTTGAAGTGAGATAGCCAGATCGTCAGAAAGATGGGTAAACTCACAGCTGCGGCAAGCGACCTAGCAATTTGAGAAATTGAAGTCGAAAGCACTGAGTCCGAGATGGAGCAAGGGCACAGACAGTCTACTATGATGACACACTGCAACAAAGTAGTGCCCAAAATGCTGGAAAAAATAGCGCATTGTGTCACAAACACCCATAAAGGATGGCGAGTAATAATTTCAGCCAGCAGTACAACACTTGCGACGATAAACTTAGCTAAATAGGGCAGAATTAAGACTCACCTGTAGCCGTAGACGAAGAAAATGAAAGCCAAATTTAAAAGAACAATCGCCAACGAATCCGATTGAGGAGCCACTACCGAATTGAAGTAAGTCAGCAATACTCTAGCAGGGAGGAAACACACAAACTAATAAACATTGTATGTTAATTTGTCAAAGCAATGAAGACTAATAGGTCTCCAAACCAGACGAATAAGAGGATTCCACTTACTTTTGTGGAACCGTACCCGTTCCAATAAGCTTGAAGAGTTTACAACATAACTCGGCGAGCAGAAGATCCTAAAAATGAGATCGCCTTAAGTATGAACCTGAATGGAACAAACCTGGTAAACTAAATCACGTCCATGAGAAACCCAAAGTTTTCGGCACTCACAAAAAAATCAGAACTGGGTGGTCAAATGCTAACGACCTGGTGGTTAAAGTGAAAACCATCGAACCCAAAGATATTAGTTTTAAAAATCCAAACGAAGTGTAATTCAAGCTCCCGAAGACGCAGTCCAGACTGAAATCTGGCGAAGGTGGCCTATGGTTTTACGGCTTCACCGCTCTTGTAAAGCGCTTTCAAAGGCAAAAGCGTTGGATACATGTGTGGTATTCAAGCTTTTCTTGCCAATACTCCCTCAAAGCACAACTAGCTTGGACCGCTGCATGAAGAGCTGTCAAAAGCTGAGCACATGATGTTAAACAGTGGGACAATATGGCAATAAGGCTTATGAACAAACTGTTTCCTTACATACCCTGCTTTAGGGCGTATGTAAAGCCCAGTAATAAATATCGTGATAACACGCTACGCTTTATATCAATGAAAATGCATTTAATTATAAGTATAGGCATGCCTAATTGAAAGTAAGTGTAACGTTGGGGTGTGGATATGTAAATATTTGCATTAGAAATTTAAGCATATGAAGGCAAATGAAACTAAGGACGAGTTGTCGAGAAAATCTTGGGGATATGGTATCCCTCTATTGCTTGAAGAAAATAACAAAGGCACAACAAAGTCCTTTACAAAACACGTTACCGACGGTACTAGTCCATCAGTCTGTTCCACAGTTTCATATCGAAAGGGCTCTCCTAGGGGAGTTATTACTTCATGAGCCGCCTAAAAGGTGGTAAATGATTAAAATAAAAAGCCAAGCGATTTGCAATACGGCAGTATACGTGAAGGATCGTGTCAGTACATTTATCAGTCAAAAACTTGTCCACTGAATACGCAAAATTAACCAAGAAACAAGATTTGGCATCTATTTAAGCGGCGAATTTCATAAAATTCCCAAGACAATAGGGAAGAGACGATGAAGTGGTTGACCTTCGTGTGACGCAAGCTCAGGACATCATTTGTTTCAAGGGCTTGAGCAAGTGCTTGATGTAGAAAGGAGCGAGCCTGTACACTACAAAATGAACGCATATAGGGCAATAACCTGGTTAGAGGAGCACCGTAGAAGTCAGCATGTCACTAACCTGTGACCAAACCTATGATGCATATCGGCAGCCTCCAGTGTCATGCGAGTCCAGGCATCAACAGGCCTTGGCTCAGGGGCAACGCCCGATGAGTCACCCATCGGTGGCCATGAAATAGCCATCTCAAATGCCTTAAATAGATTCGTCTCTGCCTGTGATAGGTTACGCTGCCGCATTGCGACTACGTGAGAAGCGAAACGCTAAATGTGAAACAAATCGTTACATAAACATTGCGTCAATCAACAAGAATTATAGCACGAAAACCGACAAGATAGCATTTGCCCATTCAGTTAGCGTTTTCTCTGAGCGTAAGTCCACACTGTAGGCTAGTGCCAACAAATACAAAACAGAAAGCAGTGCTGTTTACGTGCTCAAAGACTAAATCCAAAAACGAATAGTAATGCATAAGAGATCTCCCAAGAACTATAAGGTCCGCGTCAGTTTACACCCACCGGATATTAAAAACCGGGAACGAAATGTTCTGTAAAATAGCTTACCGGTGTGGCTAGGTCGGGATAATTTCTTTGATAACTTTGTAATTTCTCAATTAATGAACCGAATTCGGCGGAACTCAGAGAACCCAATCGTCCAGCTTTATTTATTGTCTCTTCGGAAAAGGTTATAACTTGATTTGAACTGAAAGACTATGATTAAATAAAACGCTTGCCTTAAATAACTAGAAAATCCTACACTAGATATTTCTTCTTGCGTTCTCACCGAGTCATAGTAAGCATAAAATGAGTTGCAAAACTCAGTGACCTTATCAAATGGCTGCAGATGAAAGCTAACAGCAAATTTTCGCAAAAATTGTCCTAAAAAAGGATTGCGCAAGCAGACAATACTTACCCACAAGACTGTTTTGGTGAAACGTAGCAGACTTTAAGTCATCAAACTCCTCCACATCACGGGAGAAAGCCTTTTTAATGCGGGCTCTATTAACGTACTCCACAACATAATCAATCTTCCGAAGCATTTCAATTCTATTACTCTAAGCAAAAATTACTTCAAACCTTTTCAACACCAAATGAGAGAGTAATTCACTCATGCATGAAGGGTCGGTCAAGCAGGGGATTAAGAAAGTGTCATCGCCCTAGCGGTTAAATAGCTATCTGTTGCCATACCTGTAGTAGTTTTAGTAAAAACTTGTAGAAGTTATATACTTTCCTTTCATCAGAATACGCCAGCTCCGTAATATTATCAAGGTATTCGCGAGCCACGACAAATCCGATGAAGTTGTTGAAAGTAACAAAGTCCACCAAAAACTTCTGTCTAGAGAAATTTTCGTGAAAATTCATCGAATCTGAAACAAAAAACATAGAGTGACACTGGAATGAGGAACGCCATGAAGGTATGACACCAAAAATTGACAAACATGTATAGCTTTTAGCATAAAGTAGAAAACACCTTCCTAAAAAGTGCACCCAAAAGAACTTGTAGGCTATGCACGCCGAAACACAATAAGTCACACAAGACGAACCGATATAATGGTAAAAGTTAAGGTTATCTGGATACATAAACAGCGCCCAACGTAAATACGATCAATCATAAAAGTTGTATCTGTTCTTTTGCATAAAAGGGGCTCAAATGAACCGAAATATAATGCTAGATATTTTCAACGAAATGTTACAAGCACAGCCTTTAAAAGGCATTTAAATAACCAAAAGAGCTAAGATGTTCAGTGATAGACCTGAAACTACGAGGCTTTCCTCAAGTAACTATTCATTCTGTATGGACAGAGTGTTTGAGATGCAGAAAAGCGAGAGTAATGCAACGATCAGAGCAACTGACAGTGTGCACCATTACAAAAAAACGCCCATACCTTTAACACAATCAGCTGTCACAATCTGTAGTCGTGACACACATGTGGCGCATACAAGGAGCTTCAACGTACCAATGAACACTAAAGAGGTTGACAAATCATGAACGACATCTTTTCGATGTCGAAGTTTTTATTAATTTTGTGCAATATAATATGAAGTTTTTGATGGTACACGTATGCTAATGTCCATAAAATAGCAATGGCAACCACCTTTCGTGCGACACGTAAATACGTTTCAACAAAGTTAACAAGGATTTGTAAAGGAAAAAACCTGTCATGAGCCACTTAAATGCTTACTTGATGCGAACGAAATTACGTGGAAGCCAATAACCCAATCTTGAAATGGCATTGTGATACAAATAGACCATATTAATTCCTACTGTTTACTTGAGATATGCAATGTATTTACTAAACAAAGCAATTAAAAAAACGTGTGGCGCTTCGAACTCCCCACGAGGTAGAAGTTGGGCTGAATGCGTGTATTCTAGGCAGAGCAAGGAGGTTAAACTTGAGCTTGGTCCGAAGGCCAGCCCATGCGTACAAGATCCAGACGAATACCAAAATAGCCATCGGATACCAGGTGGTCACATAAACACAGCATTACAGGGTGTATAACCTTGAAGCTTCTCTGATTTTATGACAAGTTAAATCTGCAGGAAGGCTTTTTTGGCTTGCATGTCATCCAGAGTTGCCAGCTGAATAACGGCCTATAGCACTCATCAGTAGGAAAAGCTGCAAAAGCCGAGATGCTTATGCCTTTAAACCTGCTGTAGTATCTCAAGACTTCCCATCGGGTTGCAGTAAGTAAGTGAGGTTGGATACGTGTATTCCAAAGAGAACAGAGCAAATGGGTCTGAACATGGCTTGAAGGCCAGCCCACGGGTACAAGGGCCAGACAAATCCTAAACTGATCGCCGAACGTCAGGTAGCCACATAAACAAAGCACTACACCTGTATAAACAGGGATTTATATTGCGTTTACTCGACCATCTCTATGGCGTGGAAGGTGGAAGTACCTGAGTCTGAGAGTAGGGTGCAGGGTAGTGAATCCACGTCTTCCCCTTCTCAAAATACAATTACTCAGCCATGCCTAATACCTTCTGTTACCAAATGAGAAGGCAACAATGCAATAAAATAGGATCTAGTCACCTGGGACGAATCTAACGAATTCAGAAAGCCACCATTGAGAATCTGGGGTAGCTTAAAAACAGGAATCCAATAGTCCAGGTTAAAGTATGAGTGCGGTTAGTATCTGTATATCTACGGGCACTGGATTAGGGTAAATGTGATGCATGCATTTCATTCAGCCATAGTTTGCTAATTTTCACTTCAAACGCCAATTTTTTTGAGTGGTAAAATTTTAACAAACATGGTCCAATTAAAATTTTGTGCCCTAGTGACAGTTTAATATAAACAAAAAGGGAAACTTTAGTGTTCTAAGACTTTCCATTTACCTACTGTAGCGTCCCGAGGTTGCCCATGGAGTGGAAGAACGCATAAGTGAGGTTGAATATATATATTCCGAAGACAATACGGCAAATGGGGGCCTGAGCGTGGCCCGAAGGTCAGCCCACGTGTACAGGGGCTAGACAAATTCTAAAGTGGCCGCCAAACGTCCGGTAGTCACATAAACAAAGCATTACACTTACATAGGCGCCTCTTAGTTAGAGCAACTTCTCAGTGCAATCAGCCCAATTGTCATCAACTATTGTGTGATGGGAAAGTAAGTAAACTCCACGTCACTGATCCTTCTCAGCAAATCCAACTGGGCCTAGAGCACCGTCCGACTTGGAAATAGATACCAATGGTGCGTTAAACGGGTGCGTATAGAATGGAAGGGACTCAACGCTGTGTGTGTGTGTAAGTAGGAAGGGTGTTGGACGGTTTAGTGCAATCCCTTTGCAAAGCCTTTACGCGAAGCTTTCCGGATGTTCCATGGCACATTTCGTTTCACTTATAGATAATTCGCTATTGGAGCGGAGGAATGAGGTAAATGCTGAAGGGGGATGCCATTTATAGCCCTTCCGCTGTGGAGAAACTATCGACTCTCCATTGTCAAAAGGGGTGTAAAGTTGGATGAAGTCGTAACATGGCCGGGTTCGTTTTCCGCTATTACTGGAGTGTAGTTGAGTACTAGGTATCAGAAGGACAGGAAAGAATTGAAGCTTTGGCATGGTTAGAAGACCAGCTATTTGGTGTAAATCGTCCTTAGCGGGGAAATTTTGGGCAATCTTAACAAGTGGCAAAAATACTGGGTATTATTGATGGCAGTTTCAGTCGAAGGGGTTGTGTTATAAGTTGACTACGAAACGCCTTCAATGAGAGTAGAGTGGGACTTTGTTCTGTAGAAGAGAATCAAACAGGTTTGATGGAAACCCTCACTTATGCGGATAATAGCAGTCAGTTGACGAAAGTATGAAACCATCCAGTTCGCAAGTGTTCTACAGATCAGAGCTTCCAAACAACTGCCTTTGGACTTGAAGTGTGTTTTCACAGGTCTTGCAAAGTTGATTCACTTTCTATTCCTAGGTATTTATTAGGCATGGATTACGTCAAGCCTCCTATAGTGATTCATGGCCTCTTACGGTCGGCTGTCACTATGCTTTAGAAAAGGCACGAAATAACAAGGCTTACTTTTACCAAATTTCCGTGCAAAATTACCAAATTGATATAGTATTTATGGAGGAGAAGGTAGGAACTCAAACAGAATGCTTCGATGCTAACAGCAAAATTTGCCCAATCACACTTATGCTCTTGTAATTAATTTGATTGTAAGCAAATATTATTAGTAATTGCTGATGATTCTCACACTGTAAAGACTTGGTAGGGGGAGAACTTACATGCAAAAAGTCACAAGACAGTCTCTTTGAGCAGTATTCGCTGGTACCGCGGGAGTGACATTAAATGTCTTCTGCGTCATTTGCGCCATAACTGCTGGAAAATTTTCCATTCATTACGTGCATTACAAATGCTCATTAGTTTGCCATTTTTGATGATTTTGATATGACACCTAGTACCCTACCAGGTTTGCTAATTTCAGTCCAGGAATGGATGCAAATCTAACTCAACGTTGCCATATAAATAACCGGTACAATTGACTTCCGGAATTATATTGCAATCGCTTTATTCATGGGTGAGGTTGCGCCTAGGTAACGAAGTTGGCCATTCGAAAAAAGACTCATGGATGCGTTGGAAGCAGGTCAATACCCAGTGATAGGAAGTTAGCGACTTGAGAAAGCCAAAACACTTTGTGCTTCGTTATGAAGAACTTTAACCCTAGACATTTCACTTTTTTGCCCAGAATACGGACAAACTTGCTTTTGGGAAATGTGGTAGCGGTTTTTGAAACGACAGTAGCCCAATTCCTCAAAAAATGGTGTGCTTGGCTATTCACCTCGTCCCATGGTAAAATGAATTCATTATGTCATTGTATTCATCAGCATTGTTTCCCATAGTAGACGTTTTCAGCCGTGCAGAGGAGTGAAACGTTCCCAACCGCAAATGCTGGCAGAGGTTTATTCGCGAAGATTAGACAACTTTATGAATCCAATTAAAGTGGAGTCAAGTTTCATTCGTATAACTTGGTGTTTCGGTACTCACTGGTTTTTACTGAACTCTTTAAATTACATTTGAACTTTCAAGCCAAAAGAATGGGGAGCATATTTTAATCGCAATTCTAAAGTGCACACGGAGGAGGGATTAAGTTCGCCTTAGCTGATTGGAATCAAATTAAAGAATGAGGTTTGCAAAGCACGTGCGACCGTATTAGCTTTGCAACGTCCTTGCGCTTTATATTCAAAGTCACTCTAACTCGCAAGGCTTTCCGGGCATGTAGAGCTTGAGCCAAAACCCAACATTTCATGGATAAGCGCAATAACACAGACGTCTTGTAATTTTGTTGGCCTTGGCATACTACAAGTAAAATTGCCATAAAGTTGTAGTTTAGAAGAAAGGGAAGTTCATTTAATACTGTTTTTTTTTCAAAAAAACATGTCGATTTGAGACAGGTAACGCTTGCTGGTAAATGTAATGTCATGCTTGAACGAAAACGGTGACAAAATATGCTTTAAGTTGGAGGTGTGGGGGGCTTTGCAGTGGCAGACAGAAATCGCGTATCATGTTCAACTGACATGCTTGCGGAGGGTGTGTTAGGCCGTGGTTTAGAGTTCGCATAGCATAAACGACTAAGAGATTTCACTTTACCTCTGCAGTGGACCAGCCAATTCTCCTGTTGCGCACACATCAACGGAGGCTTACATGGGGTGAGTGTAAACGGAATGTACAGCTCAGAGAAACGATTTCCTGAGAGTAAAAAGTGTTTTCTCAAATTGAAAACAAGAAACTACAATGGGAATAAAAGAGTTGCCACACCCATAGAGCTCAAAAGTTAGCATTTAAATGGATGCTTAAAGTGTTGTGATTTTAAAAAGGACATGCGTTCTCGTGCTAGCGAGGAATTTTAGTGCAGCGGTTGACTGT